TCAAGACAGTGTTGCACGTACTATGAGTGAGAGAGTGTAGTTTATTGTTAAGAGACTGTTATATGGACGTACTATGGATTTACTAATAGTTTTGTAAGAGATTTGCAACCTCTAGAAGATGTGCACATATATTTATGAATAGAAAATAGTCAAGACTGTTGCTGATGTGTGGAAAATATTATTTGATGTTCTCCAAAATGTTTTCTGTCTATTGAAAAGGGTCACCAGTTTGGCAAATAAACAAAACAGAAAAAAGTGTACCTGTTAAATATACAGATTTGTCAGTTGTATAGACTTTACTCAGATTGCCCTTTTTAATTCAGTATTAACAGTTTTATTGGTACTGAATATGAGTCAGACTGTTCAAGATGCAGTTCTCACAACCAGCAAGAGATCAAGTACTGCAATTCCAAATCCTAGAAGATATTTTAGAAAAGGTTTGAAATAGTGAGTTATGTATTTTGAATATTAAGATAAAGAAAGAAAAAGGTTTTAGGTAATTTTGTTTCTTTATTTAATATATATGACTGTCCTTTTGTCCAATTATTCTTTTTAAAGTACTGTGCAACTGCTGTAATCAGTTTTGCACTTTTTGATAATGGTATTAGATCTTGAAAGAGCAAGTGCAATAAGGTTATTAAATGTCATATTCAACACTAAAAGAATATTGTACTACACTTATATGTTGTGGTTATTGCACTGACCATATGTTTCTTGTTTCAATCTCAGGCAATTGTTTTTCACAAATATAATTCTTTTCCAGGCATCATGGCTGTGAGTCGGCTGAGCCTGGCCTTCTCCGAGACACTGCACACTACCAAGCATGTGGCCCATGTGTGTCTCTTTATCACAATCGTCATTTTGTTCGAAGTTGGGGCTCTAGGGCTGTGGGGAGACCCTCCTGCGTCTGCGTCGTACCCTCCTCTAGTCACACTACTCTTCCAAGTTACTCGACTTTTGCCATTACTTGCACTACCCCAGGTTAGACCACTGTTGTTTTTTGGTGTATTGAAAATATTTATTTTGTGTTTGTGTATGTTTTTGGAATCGTAATTGGCTGGTGAAAGACAGGGTGAAATTGGGATTTTATGATAATTTCATGATATGAAATGCATTTCAAATTGGTGGTGGTGTTGGTGTAATAGTTAAAAAAAAATTGTCAAGCAGTAATGATAATTTCATTTTACTGATAACCTTATATTAAGCTTTTTTTGTTTTTTATACATTTTGCATTTTGTTTGCCATTTATTTCCATGCTTTTCATGTCATGATGAAAGGAAAATGAAAAGAAAACTTTTTTTATTTTAATTTTGGGTGTTATTTTAAGTGCAAGTGATCCTTAGCTTATTTTGTAATAATACTTTTGATGGATGGAGATAATGTTACATTACTATCATGGATGATGACATCAGAGCAATGGGGGGAGTGGCTGATAGCTAAAGAACAAATCAAATATGCCCTGTAGAAGGATGAAGATAAGGTAGTAGTAGTACAGCAATTAAAAATAGCTGCAAATGGTTTTGTAATTTACTGAGATTTATTATGACAAGGAACTGTGTTATGTACAAAATTTAATTATTTGATTTGTATGTGTATTTGGCCACGTAAAAGTTGATAAGTGTGTTTGTTGTATAGAATTGTGTTTTATAGATGCTTCAGTATATTCATTAGCATGGATATGTAGGTCTACTGAAGTGTAAATATGTATGTGTACATGTATGATTGTTAATACAGACTCTAAAAAAAACTGATATTTATCAAGCATAATTTGGTATACTATTTAAATCTAGTAGATTTTTAGAATATGTTTGTATGAATAAGCACTGGTGCTTGTTTTTGGTGGCTGCGATTAGTTATCTTAGATTTCCTTTGCTGTAGTTTTTATTGAATTATTGTCATCCATTACACTCTAATTCTCTAATAAGTTTAATACAAACGTGGATTTTATGGGTATGTGACATATACCCTTCCTTTGTACATCAATGCTCTGTATTACTCATAATTATTTTTTCACCTTTTAGACTAAACACTAAAATTGAATTCATGAGCCACCAAGATAGTAATTTTTTTTATTTTTTTTCTTCTAAAATTTGGTGCCTGCCATGCCAAGCCATTTCTTGTTTGGTTAATGTACATAATAGAATCACTTTGAATTATTTTGGATTCTTTGTTTTATTCAGGTGAGGAAATTTAATTTTCAGCAAAGGGGTGGTAATTTACATATGATAAATATTCTCATATAAGGACCTAATTAAGTTCAAGTTAGGTGGACTGTTGGTATACAGATTGTTGTTTTAGGTAGATTTGATAGATTAGGTAAATATTTTTACATTTTTGAGAATGATATATTTTGTTGGAGTAAATTAAAAGTATTATTTATACTCACATGTTGAGTGGTAAAACATTACCTTATTGATACTATAGTAGAAAAACAGACAGTGCACAAACAAAGATAAATCTAGTTTGTGTTGTGGATTTTTCTACCAGTCTTACATGTGTACTGAAAAAGCAGGGCAATATAGTTTCAAAGTCTACTGTGATTTCAGCTTTATTTTTTTCTCGATATGAGAAATAATGAGAGTAAGATTTTAATTTTCTTATATACTTACCAAAAATATTGATTTGCATTAACTTTTAAAGTAGTTATTGTTTTTATAATTCAGTTCAAATTAATATTATTTCTTTTATCATTAGTAATTTTGTTTCTTGTGTAAGTTATCACAAATATTGTTATCGTTTAACTGTCATCACAATTTAAGTTCCTGTTATTAATGTTCCTTTTCTTTTATTACTCATATTCAAGTCTTACTAAAATGTATATCCTTACTCTCAGTGACGTGTTATAATTAGTAGCACACACTCACCAGTTACAATCTATTTTTACAGGCATTATTTAACCTCTTGGGCTTGATCTGTTTCAATGCCTTCCCTGAGCGCTCAAAGCTTAAGGGTTCTCCTCTTTTGGCGCCGTTTCTGTGCCTAAGAGTTGTGACCCGGGGAGATTACCCAGACCTTGTCAGGCAGAATGTCAACCGCAACCTGACGACATGCCTGCGTGTTGGCCTGGAGAAGTTTATGATTGAAGTCGTAACAGATAAGACGATAGATCTGCCTGAAAATCAGAGAATTAGACAGGTGAGTTCTGTTGGTTTTGCAGATTTTTGGGGAGAGAGGAAAAGATATTTTAGAAAGAATTCAAATGGGCAAGGAGATTATGTAGTAGTAGCAGGATGAGCCTTTGTGCAGAAAGTTTGTTTGTGATAGTTAAAGTTGCCTGTAGAACTAATTTGCAATGGTCATAAATATATAAGCTTTGTTGTTCAGTATTAAAAAGAAAGTGACACTGTGAAGTTTACACAAACTTTAAAGCAAACTCTGCTAATTTAAGACAGTACTTGAAATGGTACAAATTTAACATTTTTTTCTGTATTTCAGGTTGTTGTACCGTCTAGCTATCGTCCAAAGAGTGGAGCATTGTTTAAAGCCCGAGCTCTGCAGTACTGCTTAGAAGAGGATGTTAATGTCCTAGCAGATACTGACTGGATAGTTCACCTCGATGAGGAGACTCTAGTTACAGATGCTGCCATTAGGGGCATTCTCAACTTTGTTATTGAGGGCCGACATCAGTTTGGTCAGGTAAGCTTTGAATAAACAGATTTTTATAATGAAAATTTATCTGAATACTGAGTTGCAAGTTCATCATTATTACATTAACTTGTTAAAACATTTGTTCAGAAATTTAAGTTTGTATTTCTTCAACAGGGCTTAATAACTTATGCAAATGAGAACATTCAGAACTGGTTCACAACTTTGGCTGACAGCTTTCGCGTGTCAGATGATATGGGCAAGTTGCGGTTCCAGTTCAAAGTGTTTCATAAACCACTCTTTGGATGGAAGGGATCTTATGTTGTTACTCAGGTGAGCTGCATTCTGTTTACATCAGATTTCCTGTTCTTTTTCAATATCATGATAAGATGTGTGAGATAACATTTGAGGAGTTGAATGGGCTCTGTTCTGCTGCTATACCCACTCACCAGAGGCAAGCCCCCTTCATCATTTGATAAATGTTTGTGCATTATCATTAAGGGGTAATCACAAGGGATTTAGATTCTTAGTTATATGACTCAAGATTCTATGGACAGCCTTACATACCCACATTGAATGTTCCCTAGCTGTGATTCCTTCACTCAACTTTGGGATGAAACAGTAATGAGGGAGTGATGAAAGAGGCAATGTTGTGGGAGATTGTGCCTTGTTCAGTTGTGATGTAATGTACAATGTGGGCAAAATTATGGCAATATCACAGTAGAAATTCCACTACTACTAAGGATTTGTATTCTAAAATGATGATCAATACATATTATTGAAGTCATATAATTACAAATATTTATGTGTAAGATTCTAGATCCCAAGACAAAATTCCTCTATTTGCCCCTTAGCTGCCCTTCTCTTTGAATGAGAAAATAGGTTAAGACCCATCCTGTGGTATGAACAGGCAGCAGTAGGTCAAACAGTGGAGAAAGCAGTGATATTAGCATTGGCAAGAGTAACCAAATACCAGTATAGTGAGATCTGATAGGCTGGGAAATATGGAAAATGTAGAAAATGCCCAGCACATCAATAGGACCCATAGGACTTCTACAGATCCTATGTATGAATATATGTCTATATATATATTTTCTCTGTCTCTTTTGATATAAACATTATTTAACATATGTTCCAGTGGAGAGACATGGTCACATAAAGGATACTGGGTTATAAACTTCATTTGCCAATTTACATCCAATAACATTCTGTGGTACCTCTAAGACGTAGGGAAAAACAGCCCAGATAAACTCCTAACATACACTACCATGTCAATCTGATCTTACCTCTCCTTCCCCAGACTGGTGCAGAGAGACGTGTAACCTTTGACCATGGTCCAGATGGAAGCGTGGCTGAGGACAATTATTTCGGAATGGTGGCCTTCAAAGAAGGCTACTCCTTCGACTTTATTGAGGGGGAGATGTGGGAAAAGTCTCCTTTCACCATTTATGACTTTTTGCAGCAACGCAAGAGATGGCTACAAGGGATCCTATTAGTGGTCCACAGCCCTCATATCCCTGTGAGTTTTATTTTATTTTTCTGTTTTCTCTATCACTTCATTTTTTTTTCCTGGTTCTTCCATCATTATTATTATTTTCTTTTCTTTCCATATCTTTCATTCAACATTCATTGCATTTTTAATGTCTAATCATTTACAGGTATGTATGTCCTTGGATTATGTTACAGCATTGACTGCAAAAGGCAAAAAGAAATATAAGATATACATAAGTTGAATGAAGCAATATGTAAAAAATATTGGCCCTGAAAAATTGCTTTTGAGTTTGAATATACTTTGAACATAGTCGTTTTTAGAAATGTATGTAAATGTATATATATATTTTGAGAATCTATAAATTTACATGTTGCAGTTGTCACAATCCATGGTGTTGATAATTTTTCCTTTACATCACTCCCAACAGATTAGCACAAAGTGGTTGTTAGCTGTCTCCCTCTACTCTTGGGTTACCATGCCACTGGCCTTGTCATCGGTCGTTTTAAGCACCATCTTCCCTGTGCCTGTGCCTGGCCTCCTCAACTTGGTTGCAGCATTTGTAGGGGGTGTCAACTTTTATATGTACATATTTGGTGTGATTAAGTCGTTCCGTGTGGACCGCGTCGGTTGGATGAGGATGGCCATGTGCATGATAGGGGCCCTCATTACCATGCCCTTCAACTTCCTCGTGGAGAACATTGCTGTGCTGCGAGGACTGGTGGGCAACAAGCACAAATTCTACATTGTCAATAAGTTAACAGGTGCTCCGGACAATGGAGTGAACACAGTTTAAGCCATGAGGAGCAGCCTGGCCTAGTCATGTCTACACTGTTCTCCCACCTGCTGCTGACCACTGCCACTGCCCGCTGAGGAGTGTATTCGCTGTTTGCCTACGCATATTGACGCTGCTAGTTCGGTCACCAATTGGTGCTCATGGCAAAGGAAGGCATTAGAAATGTCTACTACAAAATGTTCCAAAAATTGAATAATCAAACTCTGTATTGAAGATTTCTTACATCAAAGCTTTACATTGGTTTTTGGCTTGGTTATTGTGCTTTTTAATGTGGATATATATACACATCATCTTACAACAATAGGATGTACCTAGTGCTTTATAAAATCATTCAGAAATGGGTAGAATGCTTTACAAATGCATTATCATACTCCTGCTGCAGTAAATACCATGGTAAATAAATTATTGCTCTGTATGGAATAGAATCTTCTACAGACATTTGCATCATTACAGTTGTTAATGGGTAGACCCTTTGGAGGTGTTTTTTGCCAAAGACAACAGAAACACAGCAGATGAGACAGCATGTTTAGGATGCTGCAAAATTTCTCAAATTCTACAGGCTTGTCACATGACCTTATCTCAACTTCATGTAGCAGCTTTAGACAGTCTGGGCTGGATTGAATACAGAGCAGTAGGCTTCGATCAGAGGGTCTTTAGCAGGCACAAATCAAAATTTAGGTGTATGGCCAATGTCGTAAGGCCTTGCTTACCTGTTGATTCTCACCTTCTTATTCCAGCTGGGGGTAACACAGCCAGTTTAAACCAACTTAACTTCAATAGAAAGATCCAGACAAATATGGATGAGTGCTTTGTGGTGTATATTAGCTTGTGAATATGATGATAGTGAAACAGGTGCTATAAGCATCCCCATTCTTGTGATACACATTCACTGCCAGTGGAAAACAAGCAAGCAGATATTTAGACCTGTAATATCCAGTGCCAGGGCGTTGCATTCAGGATTTCCCTGAACTTGCCGTGATTAATTTCTTTTCAATAAAAATGTGGAAACCAATGTTCTTGATGTCATTTGATATACAATGTTTATTTTATTTTATTTTTTTTCTATTTGTTTAAACAATTTTCTTTTCAGTCAGGAGCCAGTTTGAAAGTTGCATTTTGATGGTTGCTCAGAAGACAGCAGACTTGGAATATGTCACGATAAACTAATGTCAATGTTTTGAAAGATGAGCATGATGGGTGTTACTTAAACAAAACAAATACAACCAAAAAATAAAAAAATATATATAAAGTATAAAAAATGTTTCCAGAAATCATCATGAAAAAAGTTTCAGTACAACAAAGCTCTCTCAGAGCACATTCTGTGGTTTAGCTTGCAGGATGAACATTTAGGTGCCTCGTTGGCCATAATGTTTACCATTAGCGCTGCACGTGTAAGTGAAAGTAATTCTTTGTGTTAGTGGATGCATCTCATAGAGTAGACATATCTTTGTTCCTTTGGTTGTGATGTTGTATTTTATTTGTTAGAAAAACTCACTGTGTTATTGTATATATTATATGTTTAACTCTTCCAAAATGCGTTGGAAGATTTGGTCTTAACCAAAGACTTAAGAACACTAGTTTTTTGTGGGCATGATGTTGCCCTTATTTTGGTAAATTGAAAGCGATGTTATTTAGTGTAGACAGATGTACCTCACCATGTTAAGAGCCAATAAAATGTGTGTTAAAGCTGAATTGATGTTATAAAAATGGCAGCCTGTTTAAGGGGGAAAAGTATTGTCAATGTCTGTCTGTAACATCTGTAAAATCATGCTATAAGGGTAAAGCAGATAGATTTCTATCTAAAAATCACCTGGACACGCTTCAAAGTAATTACTATAATTTAATTGGTAAAAACCGTTCAAATAAAACCATAATGTAGCATAAAGCAGCTGCCATAAATGTAAAGGGAAGAGAAATCATTCTAGAGTGATGTTTTTTCCAGTTCATGATAAAATAGTTAAGGGTGTTCAGAGGATTTATTCCTTGAGAGCACAAACCATGGGAATGAACAACTAAGTGAGGGTTTGGTAGGCCTCAGGACCACTCAGAGTTATCCTTCAGCATGTCTTGAGAATGGGCTAGAAGTTGACAAGGTGGAGCTGCAACTCGAGTATTGTGAGGAATGTGTAATTTAACTGTGTACTCAGGAGGTTAGATTATACATTTCCAAAATAGCTGTTTTAACTCAAAGTGTCATAAGTTATGCCGTCATTTGTGTGTTCTATGATTCTGATGTGTGTGTTGAAGTGATGTTTGTTTCTTGCACAATGGTAGTTGATATTTATAACGGTTCAGTTAGCACAACTTGTAAATATTTCCAATGTGACTTTCTTACTTGTATTTGATTTGTAAACAAATGCTTTTCTTAGAGGTTGGTGCATTTACATTAAGGGTAGTGATGATGCTGTGCGTCACTTATTATTTATTCAAATGTTGTTGGTGTTGATTATTTATTTTTTTATCATGATTTTTTTTCTATCAGAGTTTTCAGCTGAAAGTCCTGAGTGTGATAAAGTTGGTGTTAAATGACAGATTTTTCTTTTATCATTTGTTCTCACTTGCAACAATTTAATTTTTTTGAAACATGCATAAAAATCTCCCTCTGATTCACTTGCACAAAAGAAGGGATCATATTGTTCCATAGATTGGCATATAATGCATCTGATAGGCACGACCAAGATTTTTGAGAAACTTAATCTATATTTTGTATATACTATGAGAGTCACACAAATATCACCCTGCCCCCCCCCCCCCAAAAAAAGAGAAAAAGAAAGGAAAAAGAAAGGAGTGTAATTAAAAGGCAACAACATAAATATGAACTTTTTGAACAACAGTTACTGATTTTTTTTTCTTTAGTGGACAATACAGCCCCACTTCAACATTTCTAAATTCTTCCATTCCTTACATAAAAAAGTTAAACTTGTTATACACACTGCAGTATAAAATGTATTCTCATTTCCTGAAAATTATAATGAATTTGATTTCAAACATTAATTTTGTTTTTTGAAAGAGCAAATTCATCTTTGTTTCCATTGAATGACAGTCAAGCTTAATGTATGTAAAAAAAAGGCAGTATTCATAAAAGTTGGAAACTTAAAGAGGGTTCTTTTGTATTCACTTACCACAAATGCAGAATTTAAGTTTTAGCTAACTGTAATATGTAAGAAGGATAAGAGAGAAAGTTGTGTGCCAGTCGAGCATAATCATAAATCTTGTGTACTTGTGCATGTTTTGTAACTCTTAAATCTGGTTTGTTCATGTTGAACAGCTTAGGGTAAATGGCGTTATAGTATGGTCTGTGCGCGTTAAGAGCTGTGTATGATCTCATGTTCCATCTATTGGTTCACTCTATTGACTTGTCGTACCATCCTTTGATCTACATTCTTGTAGGCTCAAGTACTTGTCTCAGATAATTCAGAACAATGATATTGCATTCTTTTATTTATTTTGTTGTTTTTTGAAGTAATGATAATGATGGTTATGTTGGTAAATTTAGTAATGATAATGAGAATAATGAAAATATGAAAAAATATTAATAATGATAATGATAATAGTACTGACCAATAGTGGTAATCATGATAAGGGATTAGATTACAGCAGAATTATCTGGGATGTTGATTTACAAGGTTTCAGTTAGCACCATATCCAGTGCAAATATAATGGTTGCTTTATGGCTCCTTGTGCATGACAAAATTAGGTATTATTATTGTTGTAATTGCTGTTGTTAGTGTTACTATTATTATTATTATTATTATTAGTTATATAATAAATTTAATTTTATGAAATTTGCTTTACCATTACTTCTGCTGGTCACATGCATGAGTTGGTGTAGATGATTGTGTAATAGAAGTGACACAAACACTTGATTACAAGTGAAAGAAGTAGGAGACAGTAAGAACAATGAATTGAATGAAGTATCAAAATGTATGTTTCAGTTCAAGTGAATAACGCCAACTGGTACACACAATTGAGCCATTATTACAGCGTGTATATGTTTGCATTGGACTGTAACAGTGAATGGGTTTAGTAATGATTACAGTCACTGCTTCTCTGTGTATATGAATGTCTTTTATTTCTTTCATGACTGTGTATACTGAAAGTGTACTTTGACGAACTCTGTACCTGTCCAGAATAGGAGAAAACAGCAGCAACGACAAGAAAAGACACAGGCTTGACAATGACAAGGATGTCATACTTTTTCCTTTTGAAAACTTTTTTTTTTCCTTTTTTTCTTTTTTTGTGAACTTAGGTCAACTCTTGGGTCACAGAGGAGATAGAACACAGTAACTTATTTTTTCTATGAAGGAGTAAACATGTGTAATGGATGATCTCTCTTATTTTTTTTCTTTTCTTTTGAAAAGTAATTAATTTATTAAGAACTGCAGAGCTGCCTATAACTAATTATAGGATTTGCTGTCTTCAGGAAGCTGGTTGATAATAAAATATTGAAGAAAATTGTTTTTGATTTATTAGATTCGTAAAACTACATATAACTTCATGTAGTGTTACTAACAACTATAGAAGCGATACCAAATCACCTGTGATGCTATGCATTGTGTGACATAGCGAGAAAATGCTTTTAAATACTGATGTTACTTTTGTTATAAACATTATAATTATATTTTTATTGACATTACTAACAGCAGTATTAAGTACTATAAAATATTATTTTAAATCCAGGGAAAGGATAAACAAGCGAGACAGGTAGTTCTTATAATTGGCTCATTGGTGACTTAGTACTTATGGAGCCATAGGTAAAAGCAATTACTAAATTAAACACACTGGGCATGTATGCACATGCCATCCCCAGCGGCAAGTTACATGTATATGAGTAGTATCTTTATACACCAGATTGGATTTTCTTCTTGATCACACTGATGTCACTTTTAATTAAGAAAGTCTGTTTTCCAATTTAATAATTTCAGTACATTATCAATTCCAATTTTACAGTCGCAAGTCCTACCTCAGATAGGATTGTCTAGCAATTACAATATTTCTGAATTGTGTCCAATATTTACACTGATAATAAATAAACTTGAAAAAAGATCAAGACCAGAAATAAGAAAGGAATCAGTGTATGGCCATATAGAATTAGGCATTGTTAATTCCTGCAGATCATGTGTTTGAGGAAATTGTCAAGTGTTGCATATCTCAGTGGTAGAATGCTGGTATGCGTACATTAGCATGGGGTCAGACTTGGGTGGAAAGGAATTGAAAAGTTTCATCCTTTAGCCTAATATGCATATTCCTCAACAAGTAAGTAAGTAATAATGACAAGAAAATAGATGTGCTAGACATCAAAGGTCATATAGCACTATGGTATTGTATTGTGTTGGGAGGGTTTTTAAATTCTTTATTACAATTAAAATGTTAAGTTTCGATGGTCATTTATTGTATGATAGTATAGTATTTAAAGGAGTAGGAGGAGATGGTAGATGGGAGTAGGATAGGTATTGATGAGAAGAGGAAGGGTTAAGGAAGATGGGTGACAAGATCAAATGAAGGATATTTATGCATCTGAGGAAGGAGAATAAATTATCAATAAAAAAGGTGGGGGATTCTGTAAGGATGTCTGACAGGTTGGGGGGTCGGGGAAGATAGGATATGTGAGGAAAAGTAAGGATATGGGCTTCGGTAAAGCGAGGACAGGATATTAGGATATGTGGGACAGAGAGAAGGATGAAGGGCATAGAGGTAGGTTAGAGGGATGTGACATGAGGTATGAATGAGTGATTCTGGTGTGGCCTATTTGTAGGCGGGCAAGGGCAGTTTCCCAACGTCTGTTTTGATGGTACGGAGCTATGGAGCTGACCAAGGGGAGATTGAGGGTTTTATGGTTTGGAGTTTGTTGGTGCACAGATGTGACCAGAAGGATTGCCATCGGTTGTAAAGAAAAGTTTTGAAGTGAGGGTAGTAGTCGGTGGCTGGAATGTGTGAAAAACGGGCTTGGTGACTTGAGGGCAGGGCAGCAGATCGTGCTAAGTTATCTGCTTTTTTGTTGCTGGGAATCCCGACATGGCTGGGTATCCAGCAAAAATTCACTGTTTTCTGTTGTGTAGACAGATAGAATAGCTGGTCGTGTATTTTTTGGGCTATAGGATTGGTAGGGTGTATAGATTGTATGAATGATATTGAGTTCCGTGAGTCAGTGAAGATGGTGAAGGATGAGGAAGAGATGGAAGATATGCGTTGTAGAGCAAAGAGGATAGCATATAGTTCTGTTGTAAGGACGCTTGATTCAGGTGGAAGAGGAAAGCTGTATGTCTGAGAGGGAAAGACTATGGCAAAACCAGCACCTGAGTTGGATTTAGACCCGTCAGTATAGATATGAGTGCTAGAGGAGTGACTAGTGATATGAGCAAGGAAATGTGTGAGAAGGATAGAAGGTGGAATGTTTGACTTTGGTAGATCAGGGAAAATAGAGGAGCAATTACAAGAGACTGGTACTAGCCAGGGAGGGAAAGTTTGGGTAGAAAGAGGAAGAATTTGGAGATGAGGAAAGGATGAATGGGAGAGAAGTGTCCATACGAACAGCGAAAGGGACAGGTAGTCGTGGAGAGGAAGATAAGATGCGAAGAAGAGGTTGAGGGACAGTTAGTTTGGAGAGTGAAAATTGGTGGAAGCGAGCATAATTTCTTAGGGACAGAAGAGCGCGTCGTCTAGAGAGGGATGGTAGTCCTGATTCAACGTATAGGCTCTCAACTGGAGAGGATTGGAAAGCTCCTAGGGCTAAGCGGAGACTGCAATGGTGGATAGGATCGAGGAGAGAGAGAAGAAAGGCAGAGGCTGAAGAATATATATGGCAACTATAGTCAAGGGTGGAGAGGATTAGAGTAATATGGTATGAAGGAGTGTTTTGCGGTCTGATTCCCAGGATAGGTGGGAGAGGGTTTGTAGTAGTCGGAGGCGATGGCGAGCTTTTTCTTTAGAAAGGATATGATCCCGCCAAGATGCCTTTTGAGTCGAAAATAACTCCAAGAAACTTGCCGGAAGATCGTGATTTGGATAGGGGTATCATAAAGGAGGAGTGGAGGTTAGGAGGCTATACGTGAACGAGAGAAAAGGATGGAGAAGGTTTTAGAAGTAGAGAAACGAAAGCCATGGTTGGTAGCCCAGGAAGAGATTGATGTTATTGACGAGTGGATAAGTTAATGGAGAACTTTTATGGAACGGTCGGAGTCGAAGATGGCTAGATCATCTACATAGTGATGAACGGATTTTTGGTGGTAAAGCGGATATTAATCCGTTTACAGCTATGAGGAACAGTGTGGTGCTCAGTACACTGCCTTGTGGGACATCTTCAAACTGAGGAAAGGAGGGGGAAGTGGAAGAGGCAAATCTGACATGGAAGGTGCGGTCAGAGAGGAAGGAATTTAGAAAAACACCCATGCTTCCACGTATTCCGTGGAAACATAGCTGTTGTAGTATATGGTGCCGCCAAGTAGTATCATATGCTTTTTCGAGATCGAAAAAGACTGACTCACAGTGTGCAAATGCTGAAGTGATTAGTGTTTCTGCATATGCTAGTGGGTTAGCTGTGCTTTTGCCTCGACGAAATCCGAATTGGTTTGGTGATATGATTTGGTGGTATTCTAGGTACCATATCAATCTGAAATTTATCATTCGTTCCATTAATTTACATAGGCAGCTTGTTAGGGCTATGGGGCGGTAGTCTTGGTACCTGTTTTGTTAAGTTTCAGGAAAGGTAATACTATGGCTTCTCTCCAGTGGGGAGGAAAGTTTCCAGTCGTCCATATGTTATTGAATATTGATAGAAGGAAGGATAAGGAAGTAGGAGAAAGGTGTCTTAGCATACGGTAATGTATACCGTCTGGTCCTTCTTGGGTGTTGCATGACTGAAGTGCATTATAAATCTCAGAAGAAGAAAAGGGTGCATTATAAGGTTCTGTAGATGATAGGGAGAAGGAGATAGGAGTGCGCTCTATGTCTGATTTTAAGGAAGAGAAATGAGGAGAAAGATGAGAGCCACTACTGACTTGGCTAAAAAAGGCACCAAGTTCAGTAGCTACTTGAAGAGGGTCAGAGATGAGGTTATTATGAATATGGAGGACGGGGGCAGGATGAGGAGGATGTTTTCCGGATAACTTATGGATCCGCCGCCAGACTGCAGAGATTGGTTTGGAGGATGTTATGGAGGATACATAGTTTTGCCAGCTGTTTGTCATGGAGTTACGAATTGCACGGCGAAGATGGGCTGATGCTTTTTTAAAAGATATGAAGGCTGTTAGTTGACTGGGGGTGCCTCTCTTGTGTTAGTAGCTATTCCAAGCTGCGCGCTTCAGACGAAGTGCTTTTGTACACTCAAGGTTCCACCATGGAACACGTTTTGAGGTGTAAGGTCTGGATGGTCATATAGGCTGTATTTAGGACGTTAGTTGTGAAGTATTGGAGCATTTCTGAGGTGGTAGAGAATGATGATGGAGGAATTTCAAGAGTAGATAGAGAGGTAAAGGTATTCCAGTCTGCTCTGTCAAAGCACCAGCGAGGGAGATTTGGGAGCGGGATATAGGATGTTGAAAAAAGAAGAATTGGGAAGTGATCACCAGAGTGAAATTTGTTTAGGACAGACCAGTGGAAGTCTATATGAAGGATAGGGGAGCAAAGAGAGAGTTCTAGCCATGAAAAAGATTGAGTGCGTAGGTCGAAATGAGTGGGACTGTTGGAATTTAGGAGGATAAGGTCAGTTTTAGTTAGAAATTGTTCTAAGGAGCGACCCCTTGTATTGATAATAGAGTCACCCCAAATAGTATGGCGACAGTTAAAAGTCTCCAGCCATTAGGAAAGGTGGTTGGAGTTGGGAAAGTAAGGTCTCAAATTCTAGGAAGTCAATAGGGAGGGAAGGAGAGAAGTAGACTGAAATGATTGTGATCCAGCGGCGGAGGAAAATCCAGATAACTGTGCAAGGTATAGTGGTTTGTAAAGGAGGTATGATATATGGTGTTTTATGATGAACAAGTGTGGAAGAAGCAAATATTGAATGAGGGAGTGACACAAAATGGTAGTTGGGAATTGGTACTAGAGGATGTGTGAGGAAGGTTTCTTGGAGGCAGACGATAGATGGATTGTAAGAGTAGAGAAGATGGCGGAGATCAGGTCTGTGTGAGCGAAAGCCTCTAATGTTCCACTGCAGTAGAGCCATTGTGGATCATTCTTTAACTATTATGGGTGGCAATGTGTATCTGTGAGGTAAGAGGGGTGGAGGTGGTAGTGTAGTATCAAGAGAATCATCATGGGAAGGGGGGTCACGGGGAAAAGATGAAGGTATAGAATCTGGAGGTTCATCAAAAAAGGTGGGATCTGGGGAAGGACATGTGCTAGAAGGGATTCACGTGTGTATCCAGGAGGGAGTGGTAGGGATAGTAGGGAAGGAAGGGTTTTTGGTTTAGGTACGGGTGGTGGAGTGGATAGGGTGTGTTGGGAAGGTATGGGAGGAA